TGTGTAATGTATGCCATGTATGCAATGTATGCAATGTATGTACTGAATGTACTGGATGTAATGGATGGAATGTATACAGTGTATTGAATGTAATGTTTGTAATGTATGTAATGCATGTAATGCATGCAATGCCTCTAATGTATGTAATGTATGTAATATATGTAATGTATGTCATGTATGTCATGTACGTCATGTAGGCAATGTATGTTATGTATGCAATGCATGTAATGTATGTATGTATGTATGTATGCATGTATGCATGTATGTATGTATGTTTGTATGTATGTATGTATGTATGCATGCTGTATGTGTGTATGTATTAATGCAATGTAATGCAATGCAATGTGATGTAGTGTAGTGTGTGGTGTGCATGTAATGTCTGGTTTGTTTGCAATGTATGGTATGTATGTAATGTATGGCATGGATGTAATGTTTTGTTTGTATGCAATGTATGGTATGTATGTAATGTATGGTATGTATGTAATGTATGGCATGTATGGTATGCATGGTATTTGTGTAATGTATGTATGGTATGTATGGTATGTATTGTATGTATGGTATGCATGGTATGTAATTTAATGTAATAAATGTAATGTAATGTAGTGTAATGTTTTGTATTGTACTGCAATGTAATGTAATGATATGTGATGCAATGTAATGTGATGTAGTGTGGTGTAATGTGCTGTAATGCAATGTAATGGGAGTACTGTAATGTAACCAAATGTAGCGTGATGTAATGTAATGTATTGTAATGCAATGTCATGTATGTAATGGTTTGTATTGGTATGTAATGTATGTATATAAATTGTATTTTATATATGTAATGGTATGTATGTAACGTATGTAATGTAATGTTTGTAATGTGTGTACATAATGTATGTAAGCATGTAACGGTATGCATGGTAATGTAATGTAATGTAATGTGATGCGATGTGATGTGATGTGATGTAATGTGATGTATGTTTGGTATTGTATGGTATTGTATGGTATTGTATGGCATGGCATGGCATGGCATGTAATGTATGTAATGTAGTGTATGTAATGGTATGTATTGATATGTAATGTTATGTCGTGGTATGGTATGGTATGTAATGGTATGTAATGGTTTGTCAAGGTATGTAATGGCATGTAATGGTATGTACTGGTATGTAATGGTATGTAATGGTATGTAATGGCATGTATTGGTATGTATTGCTATGTATTGTTATGTATTGGTATGTATTGGTTTGTATTGGGATGTATTGGTGTCTATTGGTGCGTATTGGTGTGTGTTGGTGTGTATTGGTGCATATTGGTGCGTATTGGTGTGTATTGGTGTGTATTGGTGTGTATTGGTGTGTATTGGTGTGTATTGG